ATTTCACATTTGGCTTCCTGTTGTTCAGTATCTCATATGGAGTGAGCGCGAACCTTTTGTTGAGATATGACCTGTTCTGTGTAAAACAAGCAGCAGAAATAGCGTCAGCCCAAAAATAAAGAGGTAAGAAGCGAAACTTAGCATAGTGCAGCTTCACACAAGGATCGGTTTCGTCTTTCGACTATTCCGTTCTGTTGTGGTGTGTAGGGAGCTGAGAAATTATGACTGATTCCCTTTTCTGCAAGAAACTCTTCAAACTCCCTGTTCTTGAATTCGAGACCATTGTCGCTTCTGATGTTGCGAACAACCTTCTTGAGCTGTACTTCAATTTGCTTGATAAACATTTTCAGCTTTTGAGTCGCTTCAGATTTGAGCTTTAGAAAGAACACCCATGTAAATCGTGAAAAGTCATCAACAATAACAAGAATATACTTGCTACCACCGATGCTTTCAATAGATGAAGGACCACATAAATCAATATGAATTAATTCGAGTGGTTCAACAACTTTTGTGTTGATTATAGACGGATGACTTTGACGACTCTGCTTTCCCATTTCGCATGCAGCACACAGATGATCCCTGTCGAACTTGAGCAATGGAAGGCCCCTTACATGACCTCCAGTAACAAGACGGTTGATATCTTTAAAATTAAGATGAGATAATCTTCGGTGCCACAACCAGCTTTCGTCGGATTGAGCTTTTGACAACAAGCATATAGCTGGGTTTCCTTTGATGGGTTTGATGTTTAAGGGAAACATTTCACCCTTTCGCTCTGACTTGAGAATCACTTTATTTGACTTTTTCTCTATGATTTCAGAACCTTCATCATCGAATGAGACTTTGAGACCTGTACCTCCAACAAGCTGAGATACACTAATGAGGTTGTGTTGGAGTCCTTCCACATAAGCCACCTTCCTTATAGAGAAGTCCCCATTGGTTATCATCCCGTATCCCTTTATAGTGCCGAATGAATTGTTTCCAAACTTGACGTTGCCACCATTTGCAAGAGATCTGTATTCCCTAAGCTCCTCTTTCCTCCCTGTCATGTGACGCGAGCAGCCACTATCGATGTACCATTCTTCGTCGAACTGCTCGTCACTAATAACCTGCAAGAATTAGATAGATTTAGGAACCCAAACTTTCTTGGGTCCACGTGAGCTTTGCATGGGAACGGGAACAATAATAGAGACATCAACAAAATAAGTTCGTTTTATAAGAGTTGCTTCATCTTTCCTTTTAATGGTATAAACCTTGATTTTGTTAAGATTAGGTGAGTTAGATTTGGACTCTGGTGTGGATTTATTGACCTTCCGCTTCCACTTTTGCTCAGCAGATGAACGAGATTTTCGAGAATAAGAAGAAGCAGATTTAGAACGAGATTGAGATAAAACAGAGGATGAGGAGGAATTAGAAGAATGAGAAGAGTTAGAGGGAGAGGAAGTCTTGGAAGGAGACTCTAGGTGACCCTTTTGTTTTTGATCATTGGAGGGACCGACCTTAGAGTTTTGTTCTCTTTTGTCTTCAGAACCGAACCTTTGCGTTCGGTTGGAGCTGCCTTTGGAACCGAACCTTTGGTTCTGGTTGAAATCCTTGTCAGAACCGAGCCTCTGGTTTCGGTTAATTTCTTCTTGTGAACCGAACCTTGGCTTTCGGTTTTGGTGACTTTCACTCTTTCCTCCTGGATTGTTTTCACATTTCAGATTCTTGTTTTGATGAGTGAAATATGCATTCTGGGAATGCCAGAATTGTTTCCTTTCCGAAAGGTTCTTCCGGTATCTGTTATTTCTTTCCCTCTTCATGTTCCTCATCTGAGAAGGTTGATGATGAACATTTGCTTTCGTATTCGTTGTCTCCCTGGCAAGTACCTTTTTAACTGTAGGAGTTTTACTTTGAGCTGAGGAAGCAGAGAGAACTTTTTCTTTTGCCGAATGATCCTTCTTCTGAGGAATATCTTTTGTACCACTGGTGCTCGGCTCATTGAAGTTGTTCGGTTTATTCAAGGGCTCAGGTATGTATCTTCCTTTGCTCTTCCAGGAAGTTCTTTCAGATAATCCAATGGTTTCGTCTGCATTATCAATTGGAGCTTCCCAGAAGTACTCATCACAGCCATCGGCATTGTCTTCGTTTACAATGGCTGCAAGCTCAGCTGTTTGATGTTCAGTTACTCCTGTCACCTTGTAAACTTGATTTGGAGTGGTCCTGACCTTTTGATACACCACAGCTTTCTCGACTAATTTTGGGGACTTTTGATGGGACAACCGAGCGAACTCTACTGAATTTTCAGAAATTAGATTCTTGTGATTTTCAGGTTCGGTTTTAACAAATTCTGAGCAGTCAACCGTGTCCTCTACAGAAATTTCGCTCATGTTATCGTCCTCGTTAAGCTCAGATGCCTTTTCAACATCAATTTTGTTTTCTGAGCTTACGTTGGCGTTTAAAGAGTCAAATTTTTGCATGGTTTCGGTTCTCAGTTTAAGTTTGTCATTTTCATCCAAAAGATTTTTAAGCATGTCTTTGTGGTCTTTGGATTTAATGAAGGATTCAATTTTGTCCAGTCCATACATGTAGGTGGGATTGATATCACCAGACGATATCACACTCTCACAATTATAAGCTTCAGCATCGATTTCATCTTCCTTAAACTCTAGGAAGGGCAAAATCATGCGGTGAATCCTTTGGCCTATTTCACAATCTAAGTGAAGCTGAGTAATATTAGAGTACAAACGTTTAGCAATTAAACAAAAAACATTTCGTTGTTTTAACAATTTCAAATTGTCTCTTTGCAAATAAATGTTTTCATCTTTAACTTTCACTAATTCCGACTCCTTTAACTCTATCCACATTCTCCGCTCCTCACTCTTCGATGCTGCCCTGCTCAATTGATCAGTTAGGTTAGAATTTGTTACCCGAGTTTGAGTTAAGCTACTATCTAGATGAGATATTCTTGTATTGACATTTTTTAGTTCTTTCTCATAAGAGGATGATGGTACTTTGCATGAAATAAAAACAGATTGTACCTTCTTTATCAGTTCATCAAGCTCATTGAACTGCTGGCTGAGCGGTTTGGCTGTAAAGCACATGTCCTCCTTCGCTTTCTGTCCATCACAGCCTCCATCGGTGTTGTATCCCCTCATTTGAGATACGTCAGAAACCATGAGGCATTTTCCACCACTGCTGTCTTTCTTAGACACGAACGCCTTTCCATGAGTAGGCTGCCTCACTTCCTCGTCTTCTGAGTCGGTGGACCAAACTTCCGTGCTACCGAACTCATCACCTAGAACAGAACCCTGCACAATAAGAGCATTAATAGGCAGGTTAGCAGCAGACTTCTTCTTTCTCAACTCATCCAATCTTTTCTGCAACACAGCTTCCTCGTCGTTCCCATCATCTTTTTCAGCCATTTTCTTGAGGACACAGTCCTTAGCATAATGATTTTTCCCACCACAGTAGAAACAGCTCACTCCAGAGTCGCCGTCAACCTTCGGTTCCTTCTTGTGCTCCTCAGCTCTCGGTTCATTAACCACCTTTTCAGAGCTGTAACTCCCCTGCCAGTTTCGGTTTTTGTTGCTGGGAAATTTCTTCTTTATGAACCTTTTGGGATTGGATACCATCAAGGCATAATCTTCTGATGTGAGATCATATTCTTCCAGGCTGAGGTCTTCATCCTCCATAACAGCTTTACTTTTTGACAAGAGAGCCAACGAACCGAGACCGGAAACGACATTCTTTTCTTGCACCACGTTTTTCTCTTGAGACTTGAGAATTCCCACCAGTTTCGCCAAAGAGTATGATTTAAATTGCTCATGGGCTTTAACCGTGGAAACGACTGCTCTCCATTCAGATCTCAGACCATTCAGGAATGTAACCTTCTGTTCGATGAGCTTCCTTTCGATATCATGTTTGATCATCTTGCTGAGAAGATGATTGAAGCGATCGAACGTCTGGGTCACAGATTCTTCAGCCCCTTGTCTGAATTCTCCAAACTCAGATAGAAGCAGAGTTTGAATAGAATGTTCAAGATCTTCGTCTGTAGAATACAGTTCGCGAAGTCTATCCCAAACATCCTTTGCCGTTGTGCATGAACTAACCAATCTGAATGTATCGGACTGAAGGGCGAACCGGATCAATCTTAATGCCTTGATATTGCATTGGAACTTATCCTTTTCATCTTGAGCAATATCTTTCACGTCCTTTAACAGATCATTGTATTCTTTTTGAGTCTTGATGATTCTGGACGTTGCAGAATGAGAAAACGGTCCATTGGTGATGGCTTCCCAAATCAAATACCCATTTTCCTCAGATCCAATAACATAGTCTTCGAAATGATGTGCCCATACTTCATAATCGTGGGTGTATAAGATCGGAATCTTTGTCGTCGAACCAATGCTGTTGGAAATATTAATAACGTTTGATTGTGTCGCGTCCATTATGATCGAAAAAACCTGTTCAAAGATCAGACTTGTAATAAAGCAGATTAGGGCAAAGTAATAAATATCGAGATACGTCAATAAAGAGATGACGGCTCAATAAATATTAATGATTGCGGAAAAACCCTAATGGAAATCTTTTTCACAGAAAAGATGTGTATCAATTACACAGCCTCCTGCTCTGATACCAATTGATGAGATTAAACTTTCTTTTAATCTATGAAGATCGATTAGATCTTGAACAAGTATGTAAATAATGACGATATGGACACAATAAAAGAACAGAACAAGATTGAATCAAACGAGTCGAATGATTAAAACAAAATCCTCAGAAGAGCTCGATTAAGAACATCAACTGTAGAGGATTGGAAGGTTACAAGAACGATCAAAGAAACCTTTTGTCGTCTGGAAAAATCGTATTCTCAGATCTCTAAAACCTTAACCTAATATGCATGCAAGCATTAGCTTATATACAAAGCATAAAAGACTCATGGTTGGACAGGCCCAAACCGGAATATAAATAAAAGCATAAACAGATGAGCCCAAAAGACGCAATCTTCAAAGCCCAACACCATGAATGTATCCGAAAGCTTCAAAAAGGAATATGCAATGGTACTATTACAGCTCAAAGAAGCTAGTGATCAGGTATCATTTATTTCATAAATAATTATTATCATATATATTTACAAATTACAACTTAATTTTAACATATAATCTTAATCAGGTTGCTTCTGCTCTTGCAAATTTGAGGCGACGCAACACATACCCAGAGGTTTGTGGGGTTTTCTTTTTTGTTATTCTTTTCTGATAAGCCCCATGGACTATTAGTTTATGGTATAAGGGCTTGGAAACCCAAAGTCTAATCTTCTGCAGCCTACTTCCAGAATTGGTGTATGGAGGGCAGTTTGGTCTTTTATTTATTTTAACAGTTTAGAGTTAGTGGTGAGACAAAGTAGTGGTGATATCACCTTGCTAGCTGTTATTCCCTTTTGTCCTTTTCTTTAGTAGTAGCAGTATATATATATAGTAGTTAGTAATAGGAGTGAGATAGCGAAGAATTATTATGAATTGAACTTTGTTCTTTCTTGGAGATACCCACATCTCGAAAGTTGGGAATTATCTTAATATCATCACGTAATTAGATCAGGGGTTAAAATGCCTGGAGTTTATGATAGATTCAACAAGGGTCTATCATTTTCCCTTGCAATTTAATAGGTGTTTATTAATGTTGTCCTTGACATATTCATGTAATTTTATTTGACAGAAAAGAGGGATTTTGAGGACGAATAATCGACTTCCTCTGCATTGTCCTTCCTATTACTTTGGTTTGTACAGTAAGTATATTCAGTCTTCCTTAGATCTTCTGTTAAAATAGGTAACATAGAAGACTTGCAACTTATCAACATAATATCAATAAAATATACGTTGTTTGATTGTTTCCATCCCACAATAATTGAACAAATTTCCAAATTGGATGCCCTATGCGAAATGCAGCATTTTGAGTTTAAATTATCAATTTACCCTCATTATTATCATTAGGAAGTCTTTCTGTTCATTTTCATTTTTTTTATCAAACATAGTCATTGGAAACATGAAGAACCTTTAAATGACAGGTTTCTATCAGAGTGGACTTACATGACTGGGTTCTATTTGTATTGGTGCTGTTTTTCTCTTTTTCATATAAGAAATAATCTATATTGGAGACTTTCTTACCTGTTTAGGGGTTAAGCTCCTTTAGAGGTATTGATTTTGGGGAAGAATTTTGCCAATGTTCACGGAGTGCATTAACAGCCTGTAGTGAGTTTTATGTATAATAATATAATATATTTCAGTCACATATGGCAAAAAGAGAAATAAAATAACTAAATAAAGATATCTGACCTGTTTATTATTAAATGATTTATTTCCATTTATCCTTGATGCCAGTTCAAGAAATTCTTTATCTTCTGATTCATGAACAATTTGAAGATTATGACCAGAAAACGAAACAGAAATATTCAGTCTCTTTTGCAGCTCTTAGATAGCTGAACCTTCCATGTCATTTTCCTGAAACCATGTTTTACATATGAACACTTGTGTTTGTATTATTCATAAACGAAAGGGTAAAATGGTCATTTTGTCACGTACAGACAGTTTGGCTTATTTACTCTAAAAAACAAACAGGAAAGCATCATTATTTATTCAGCCACTGTACCTTACAAGTACCTAATCATTTTTTGGACTCAGTAGGCCACTAAATTTGTTTTTAAGTGTACTCTAATTGAATTCAAAAAACCGATTAGGGACTAAATGAGTCAAAAAGTGAAAGTTTGTTGCTGAACTGATACCTTTGTTTCTTTATAGGTAAAAAGAAAAAAACTGTGAAGAAAGATACTTCTTCTGATGACAGTTCTGATATGCGAGTAAAAAAACACCGTGGATCAACTGTCAGGGAGAAATTGAGTAGGGATTGTCACCTACATTCTGAAGGAGAAGGAGAAGCAAAAAGAGCTTCAATTACTTACTGCATAACCTACATTCTAAATTGCATCACCAAGCATTCACCTCAGTACATAATTCTAATGGTGGGGCGTATATTGAGAGGGATTGCCACCTCTCTCCTCTTTTCAGCCTTCGAATCATGGCTTGTTGCTGAACACAACAAGGTGAGATATAATATTACATTTCTAAATACACCCTTTATATTGTTTATGGTTCTAATGCATATACAGGAGAAGCATGAAGAATCCAAAGTGGCAATCTTGTAATTATGCATACATATCATTCTACCTTCTAAATTTGGACCTAATAGTTTCTTTTTTGGTGTAAAAACAGATGAAAAGATAGCATTATTGGGTGCAATACAATCTTTATTCGAGGGTTCAATGTACACTTTTGTGTTTCTATGGACACCTGCTTTAAGCCCAAATGGTAAAGACATTCCACATGGTTTCATTTTTGCTACTTTCATGTTATCTTCCATGTTAGGAAGCTCTTTAGCTTCTCGGTTGTTAGCACACACACACTGACATACATTGATATTGTGTTGTGTGTGTATGTATATATATATATATATATATATATATATGTATGTATGTATAAAATCAAGATTCACTTTCCACTCGAACAAAAATACTCTTCCAGATTGTTCCGAATTATTATGACCATTTTGCCCTCATAGGAATTTTGACATTAACATACATGCGCACATTTCTTTTAGTGTAGATTTTGTCGAAGAGAAATGAAAACAAAGAAGATAAGTATCTCTTGTTGTTTGTATATATACACTTTTTCTTCATGTTTAATAACTTAAAAACTATATAAATGTGAAAATTGAAGGTTCACACACTGTTAAAAGGATTGAAAAAGATAATTGCAAGTTCAGATATTCCAATGTTCGTCTGTGGTGACTTCAATTCAGTTCCAGGAAGGTAAGGACTTGATGAATATAAGTTAGCAATGTTTTACTTGATTTGGACATGAACAAGACTCAAGCAAAAGCAAGACTCATACTTTGGCATGGCTAGAAGCTTTGGAGGAAACAAGACTCAAGCAAAAGCAAACACACAGAGAGTTGTTAGTACATAGTAAGCTAGATAATGCGATTGTATATAAATTCTACTTCTCTTGAGTTCATTTCTTTTATTACAATTACTCAATATTGGAATAATTATTTGTATTTGACATATTAGTGAAATGAATTATCTTTGTTATTTATCGTATTTTATTTTGTATTATGAGATTTTTAATGTATTATTTAATTTGAAAATTAGTAAATCAATAATATAATATTTTTTTTAAAACATTTAAAATTATGATACGCAAAAATGTGTGTCATCTTCATTTATGACATGGCCTTTCTTGACAGGGGCTTTCTTGATACGCATTGCGTGTCATTAACACGCGCGTCGTAAGGTTACGACACGCGAATGCGTGTCGTCTTCCTTTATGACAGGGCCTTCCTTGATACGCATTGCGTGTCGTAAATGCGCGACGTAATTGAGCGTCGTAAATGAGCGTCGTAAATGCGCGTCGTCTATAGACGACGCGCAAAAGCGCGTCGTTTCTCTTTATGACAGGGCCTTCCTTGACGTGCATTTGCGCGTCATCTGAGCCTTTTACGACGCGCAATGAGCGTCGTAAAAGGCTGTTTTTCTAGTAGTGCTACTTTCAAATCGTTTTATAAACTGCCATCAAGTCATCTTTTCTTAGTTATTAAACTTTTCAATGGTTTTACAAAACTTCTTTTATACTTTTATATTATCAAATGCATGCCTATATATGTATAGTTATATAAGTAATGTTTAAAGGACTTAGGACGGCAAGCTCGTTTTATTTCCTTTTCCTCGTTGGGATGTGGCCTTAGGGCATCGGTTATTCGTCCGAATGCCGTCTAAATATTAGTTATATATCATGTATACATATATAGACATAAAAGTTCCATCAGTCAGTTCAGTACCTTTGGGTAGCAAAGGCATAATTTCGATTATACACATACATTAATAGTAACTATAATATATAGTTAGGAGATACTACTTACTATTCCAAGTACAAGGAATCACACAAGAGTCAGTTCGTTCATGAGTCTATACTAATACATTACATACTATATGAAGAGATACGATTACATACAATTACAAGACATACAATTACAAGAGATACGATTACATAGATACGTTTACAAGAGACATGATTACATAGATACGTTTACATAGATACGATTACATAGATACGTTTACATAGATACTATTACATAGAATCTATTACATACATTTCGGGACTTACCATTCCACACCCAAGGCTGTTAGCTACAGTAGGGAAAATGCTCATCGACGGGTGTCTACGGTAGTACTGTTCGACGAGTTACCACGCCGTGAATATCCGAGTGCAAAAGGATACAATTTTAGTTATTATATTATTTTCCTTCTTACCTTTACTTTGTGACACATTCACATAAACGACGAGGTAGAATGTATTTGATATAGATAGACTATTTTCCTTATTACTTTTATATTGTGACACATACACATAAAAGATGAGGTAGATGATAGTTTATAATAATAATAGTTATACAAGGGAAAAACGTCACATTTACAGTGATGCATACTTTCAAAACATTTGGGTCTTGGTAGAAGACTACTTTTTATACTAGTAGGAAATATGAGATTTTCTAGGGTTTTTAAATGTTTACAATTACTTACAAACATGTTCATTGATACAAACTTTTCTTCAAACATTTACAAGTCTTTTCCTTACAGTTTTACAAATCAAAGATACATAAGTACTTATGAATTCACCAGCTTTATTGCTAATACTCGCTTTCAAAATAACTTGTATTCTTAGGTCACAAATAGACAGGTACGACGACCAGGTTTTGTGAAGACGGAGCAGTCAAGACTCGTCTTTTATTTTGAATATTCATTATGTTGTTTTATACTATGAAAGAACACACTTGTATTTAAAATTATACAATTAATGCAATTGATGATGTTGTTGCTTGTTTACTAGTTTATATTGTTGTGATACATTACATGATGTTCTCCATCCTAGAACGTTTCCGCCGTTCTCGGTTTTGGGGTGTGACAGGAAGACATAAGGACGACATACAGACGTGGCGGGGTAGAGGTGGAACTTCAAGGAAGAACATTTGGTGGGTGTTGATGGAGATCATACCTGGTTTGATAGGGAGAAAGATAAAAGGGTGGGTCTTTCATATTAATTTCCTTTAATAATAATGATATGGTTAATTAAAAATAATTGAAAATTATTACAAAATAGTAAAATAGTCATTTTACAACTTTACAACTGATAGGGATCAAGAATACAACAAAAACATATAATGTAAACTTTTCCAATTAAAAATGATATTAGAGACAAAACATACAAATTACCCCAAACCAGAGGACCATTTGTATAATTTACTCTTAAATCAATTATCCTTATATTTTTTAAATAGATAAAATAAAAAGAATGTAATAGAGTTAAAAAAAAATTAAAATAATAATAATAATAATAATAATAATAATAATTAAAAAAAGTTTTAAAAAAAAAAAAAAAAAAAGTGTGGGCAAAGCATTCCCTCTCTTGTAGGCTTCCAACAGGTTATCGCTGTTTGTCTAGTGTTCTTTTTCCACCCACTTCCATCCAGCATAAGAACAACCTCTCACATCAATACTCACACTCAAACACACAAGTACACAGCACTTTACAACAATCACTTTCCAAATTTTCTACAATTTCAGAAAAACAACAAAATTTTCTATTTCCATGTCCTTCCTTCCACCTGAACCCATGTTCTTCGGCTACGAAGATCACTTCCAAGGTCCCCCTCCATCTCTCTTCTACATACAAGTACGTTTATTAATTACTATCAACCATAACTGAGTAAATTTGCAGGTGGTGATCCACTGATGAGAAGATCGATGTCATATTCCGGGAGAGAAGTTTTTGAAGAAACGACAGGTGGCTGCGATGGTGAGACGTCGGAGGATGAGGGGTCTCAGCTCGGTGAAAAGAAAAGGAGGCTGAATCTCGAACAGGTCAAGGCTCTGGAGAAAAGCTTTGAGCTTGGAAACAAGCTTGAACCCGACAGAAAAAGGCAACTGGCTCGAGCCTTAGGGTTGCAGCCAAGACAAGTGGCTATATGGTTTCAAAACAGAAGGGCTCGATGGAAGACCAAACAATTAGAAAGAGATTATAATGTGTTGAAGAAACAAGTCGACTCCATTAGAGCTGATAATGACTCTCTCAAGAACAAAAATCAGAAGCTTCATGCACAGGTGAAATTTTTTTAAAGAATTGCAAGCTCAAGAAATATCTTTTGTTCTAGCACCTATATATTTGCACCTCTATTACGTTGACTTAAAGATGTTTAATTTATTTCATTAAATTTTGATGTGTGGTTTCAGTTAATGGCTATAAAGGGTCAAGAACCAAATGGGTTGAATTTAAACAAAGAAACAGAAGGGTCGTGGAGCAATGGAAGTGAATCCGAGGACAACACCACCCTATTTTACACACAGATCTCAAACAATCTTCCCACTGGTGCAGCGATGATAGGAGGTCTAGGGAGGCCGTATCTCCTCCGCCAACCACTGAATCAGACGGTGGTTGCCGGAGATGAAGGGTTCTGCAACATGCTTAATGTTATGGAGGAGCAACCAGCTTTCTGGCCGTGGCCGGAGGCTGAGGCACCCCAACCTCAACTATAAATATTTTGTTTTAATTTTAGTTTGAAATATTCGTCCATTCTGTAATTTAATTAATTGTTGTATATTTGTTCAATATTTATTTATAAGATTAATTCTGGGTTTAATCGTTGTACCATATCTCCTATTTTGAAAATATTAAGTTGATGTTTGGACATCCGTTTAAAGTCGTAATAAATAGTTTTGAATATTTAATAATTATGGTTATAAACTATAAATCATTTAAAAGTGTAATAATTTGTATGAGAAAACATTTAAAGAATATATGTAAATAAGCTAGTTATTGCGATAAAATCAAATTACTTAATTATCCATGAATCTCTATATTGAACTTAAACCATAAACCATTTTTATTATTGACAAATCGATCATTTTGTAATAATGCATCATTAAAGGTAGATAAACTTCCCATACCAATCCCCCATTTTTCTTTTGAAGCCATAACCCAATTTATCCTCCTTTCAATATCTTTCCCTCCTAAACACTAGTGAAACCAAGAAAACTACTAGTGATACCAAGAAAAGTGTAAAGGTATAGCACACTTGATTTTGGAATTAGAACTTAGGAAAAAAAAAAAAAAAAAAAAAAAAAAAAAAAAAAAATTACCTCCAGCCGGAAAATTTATGGAGTAGCATTGGC